AAATGCCCGACCCGGGAATAAATGTTGCTGCGCACAGTGGAAGCAGCGACGATATCCTTACATCAAACAACTCACTGATATTCAGACCAAATCTATTCAAGCTATACGTTTTTAGTCGCACTGGAAATAGTAAATCCTTATGTTATTATGCTTTACCGGCCTTGCGGCATTTAACTTGTTGCTAAGAATAAAACATGTCTCTAATTCTATCAACATACATGTTGAAGTACGTCTACCAACATGAAGCAATACGGCATGTTACATGGATTAACATCATTGCTGCCAAGAAAGGTTGGCCCGTAATTATCGAAGCAGTTTGTTCATTAGTTTCTATTTAATAATGCACATGTACGTTTCAACCTTTATATATGCAAGTACATAAATTGTGATTATTTACAAATAATTTATCTTTCACTGATTTGTCAATATTTTGTAATTTATATAAAAATAGTAAATACATTTCCCTTATGTGAATTTGTACATAAACATCAGATTATTGATCAATTTGTTTTTTCATTAATACCGAGGTATACGGAAATTTAGCCAGAATAACAACTTTGGCACACTGCTAATGCAAATATTTCACCCGAATTCCAGTCTTTGCCTCGCGTATGTAAAATACTTTATATTAGCTGGAATTATTTTTCACTGAAAAGAATTTTAGTGGTGTTTTGTTTTTTATTTTGCTGGATATTATTTTCACCGAGTCGTATCTTGGGCGAGAATAACCAAAAATACACATTTTACAGTAGTTGCTGTTCACATTTTTCATACTGCTCTTTAGGGCACTAGTTTTCTCGTCGCAAGCGACTCGATGGTGCCAGAGACAGTCATCAGACAGACATCGGCAAAAGAATGGAACAGAGTACTAGGCAAATGTGTGTTTCAGAATACATCGTTGGATTGAAAGCTTGATTTCAGATATTCAGTATATTTAAATAATTTGTATCCGACTTAGATTCAGACACATGTACGCAGTATGCAATGTTATTTTGGATGTAGCCTTAAACCCCCAATCTGATGAGTCGGGTACTTTCCACAAACACGTGGAAACCAGTAATTTGCACAAGGTCAAGATGGCCACCAATGTGCTACTGAACATATCTGGCCATAGTACATTCAATAGAGGGTCGACAAGAGGTATTTTCGTAAGCTGTAATCAGTTTTTATTTTCGTAATGTAATTTAAATAAATATAAAACGTAATTTCGTAGACATGGACAAGATGTAAAACGTAATCAGCTATTTTATTCGTCCGTAATTTGTACAATAATATTATTTGTAAGCATATAAAGCATTTTCCAAATTAAATGTCGTAATTCGTACGCAATTTACAGTTTTGATTCTTAAACACAAATTATATAAAAAATATGAAAATGTAATTAGAAATTTGCTTTATCTGTAAAAACGTAAAATGCAGTTTTTATTTCCTGTAACCTGTACCAGCTATACCCCCTTGCCCCCTCTCAATATCATTATACTATTGTGCTTGAGAGCTTATATTATGACTAGATAATGGACTCATTTTCGAATTCCAATATGGTTGCCCAATTAAACTGGGTTATTTCATTTATAGACGTCTATTATTGCGATTAGCAAAACATTTGATCATAACCTTGACGTTACCCTGATTTTGCTCAAATTTCTGCCACATTGCGTTATATATCGTACACGAAAATGTAAACCACCAAATTTCCATACACATGCAACAGTCGAGCTTTCTCAATAGACAGGTCGTTTGTGACAATTATAATACTTCTAATCTCACCACAAGCCTCACACTATGCAGACCCCCCCCTCCCCACAAAGAGTATTGCCTAATCCTAGTAGTTGTGCTTTCACGCTCCTATGGCGAGACTGTTGCTAACCTATTCACTCCTATGCCTCATTACTATATATATATTCTCGATATTCAGGCATTTTCTGATTCATGCAATGTAAAATGGTTTATAGAAACACGTTCGATGAAATGATCAACTTTCATCGTTCTAGTAAAGGAAAACTAGTTTTATATAACTGGGTATAATGGCTTTCGTTGGGCTACAGAGTGATGAACCAGCAAGTGGTTCAAAAGACCCGTTGAGCAGTTCATATTCTGTCAAGTGTCAATCAAATGTGGTCCTGCACTACTCAAAGGGCAATCAGACACGAGATTCTTCTTATCTACACTTTGACTGTTTGAAAAATTTCACACAATTTGCATTTGGCCTAATTCTTGTGCTAAAGAAAAATAAATCGCATTGCTTTGGCCCACCAGACTTATTTGCCAAGGAATCCCACCTCTCGTTCTTAGCTAAGAGAAGCCCTGTATTGGGAGCTTGGATGAATTCTGTCAGCAAAGAAGTCTTTCCAGTAAGCATAGATAATGCTACAACAGAAAAATATCTAGATATTTCTGGTTCAACCCTTGTCGACCACCCTTCACAATAAGGCCTGCATCCACGGAGGCAGAATTGGGAAGTAGGGTGCACAAGCATGTATTCGTGCAGCAAGGATATATCTAGGAATATGTAGCCAGATATGTCTAGTCGTGTACCCTATAGGGGGTTTGCTGCTCAATTCTCGGAAGCAGTGCTCCACAAGTATACAGGGATGAGGGCAATTCTTTCCCAGACAGTTCACAAACAAAATCAAATATGAAGATTGTTTGGAAAAGAACAAGCATTGCACAATATACCTTAGCGAGTTTCTAAAACATTAGAGCCAAAGATGGTCCAGCGAGAAAACGGGATTCTTCCCTTTTTTACAGCATGTCTGATTCTACATTGTGCAAATAACCATGGAAACTTTACTCAATACACATTCAAATACAACATAGCAATTGCAGGAGAAGGTACGTGTGCTTTTATTGAACTTGTAGGCAGAGAAAGAACGAGCTCACTCTCCCAAAACAATATCTGCAAAACAAAATCATATCTTATTGCAAATAACATTACAATCATTTTAGGAAGACAGCATAGGTTTAAAGCTGAACTGAAGATACCATTCTGTTAAGAAATGAATACTACATAGCGTTTTGCTTTGAAAGTTTTTAACAGGTGTGTAACTAAAGAAACTTCTCCTGCTTTTTTTAATTTTATTTGTTAGCGCCAATTTCTGGATGAAGAATTCCGACTGCAATTTTTTTTTTAATCGACACGGGTCAGCTTGCTGGATCAGAGACTAGGCAAGTCGAAAATCCTGTTAGGATAGAGTTCAGACAAACTTCAAGTTCGAGCAAAGCAGATGTTACTTAAACTTTATCAATTTAAATTGTCGCACTGTTGGATTTTTCAACAAATTGCTTGTTCACTCAATTAAACAGATTGAGAAGTAGTTACAAACTTGAACCATGACACAAGTGCAGTCAAAATACTACATGCAGAAATTGTGAGGCCTTTGATATCTTTCTATAGCCATGATTCGCAAAAAACAGCTTACAAACTTGTTTACACATCAAAAAGCGTTCGGCATGAGGGCGAAGAAAAGGTTCACTTGCATATAAACCTGATAGTCTGTAAAATCTCTTCAGCATTGTTACTTCGATCTGCTCAACAAGACTGATAATCAATATACTCGATTCAGAGGGTTACAGCACCTTTTCACAATTAAGTTTACCAATTTAAGAACACTGTAGCTAGTCCAATGCCAGTTAACAAATCTAAATGCATTTCTCGCAGTGTTCCAAATTGTCTAATATGAAATGACCAGCAGTTGCAGTACGGTATATTTCACTTATGCATAGTACTGAAAGCACATTCTGTCCAAATATTTTATGTGTGGTTGACACTGTCAGTTTTGAGGCGAGCTGCTACGAGTGCAAGAACAGCGTGCAAAACTGGAAAGGTGAATTATGCATCTCGAGTGCTTTCGCAATTTGTTTTACTTTATCAAATTATAATCTGCACTACAAGAAAATGCTGCAATTACTTAGTTGTTAGGATCTGGATAAACTTAGGAAACAATTCATAGGAAACTAATGTTGCAAGTAACAATGCAGAAGAGATACAAATACAGATGACCTAATTGCCAAAAAAGTTTTGAGAATTCAAATCATGATAGTCAAGTTGAATCACTTGTATTAAATGTACAAAGGTCATCTGGAGAATAACCGATACCAAAGATCGAGGCCACAAGACAACCACTAAGTGGACCAATTCTGTTGCATAAATAAAATGTAAACATTAGTACAAATCTCTATTCTGCACATTACTCTAGTTCACCAAATCTATTGGAGGAGTGATTTTTTTTATCCACAAGAAAAAGAGTCCACTAAAAAGTTTAATTTGGGTATATATGCAAACTTAAGTTTAGTTTCATTTCAAAACAGAATAAAACTAATGTTGAAGACCCAAACTGAATTTTTATTTCAGGGCTAGTCATGTTACGACGTACGAATTTCGAAACTGACATTAACGCAAATATGAACAATTGCAGTGATCATACCAGCAATATGAAAGATATCAAAATAGAGATGTGGGCTGAAGATGTGGGCAGAACATTTTGGAAAGGTACAAGAAGAATCTCATTACTTCTGCAAAGTTGAGTTGCCAAGCATAAGAGAATGTTCAAACAGAAATCTCAGCAACATTACAACACCAACTTAGTCTCGTACTTTAGGTCAGTACAACCCTAAATGCAACAGAATTAAGTATTGATGTGAAAACAAGTTTGGTAAACAAAAAAATAATTTGTTTCAAATAAAAATTGTACAACTGCATAATCTGAATTTGCCACAAGTTGGCTGAAAGTGGAGGGGGCATGACCAGCTGTACAAGAGAAATGATATGGATAATTTTGTGTACAATAGAATACTTTTGGAAGTTGACAGATTGTATTCTACCTACAGTTTACTTGTACGTTGAATTCATGCATGCCGTAAGCAGAAATGCATAAAATCAACCAGCAAAAACCGAATTACCAAAATATTAATATTCACTAAAAAGCATTAAAGCAACAGAGTTGGGTGAAGGACAAAAACCCTCAAGGCAATGTTCAGATTATGCAGTGCGAAAAAGATTCTGCCCCACCATGGGAGTTGAAAAACAGTTTTGACATGGGTGGGCACAATCTTGAGCAGCTGAAAATATCCCAGCCATCAACTGCACAAATTGAGCACCATTTCTTCAAGTGTAGAGGATGCACTGGACACTCGCTACAGAGTGACATTACGATTTTACGTCAAGTACACTGAATGGAATATGAAGGTACATGTATTAACAGTGCATGAACAGTTGATAGCTGCAATATTCGTAAGCTGATTTTTTTTGGGGGGTGCCTGATACATTTGTAAATATCAGATTGCACCAGTTTTGCCCACTTATCACACAAAAATGGTAACCAGCTGAGTGGGCTTTCCTAAACCACTGGTAATTCTAAAACACTGCAAAAGACACAAGTTAATTTTCTGAACGCCGATATGTAAATGCAATGTTTAAAACTACCAGACAATCAATTTTATAGCGCATGAAGCGCATTGAAAAAAACATCCCTATTCAGTTGATATCTAAGGAGTTCCTTTTGTTTGTAAATTTAAGTCAGTACTCTTTCACACTGTTGACTGGTAGATGTTGACCATACATTGTTTACCAGTCACAAGTCGCCAACATTTTGGTAGACTAATCCTCCGTTATGTAGACACACCTGGTTTACATCTACAATTTCCAGTTAGTCATAAAACTCGTTGAATCTAAACTAGTTTGTTGTAGTACATATGGTAATGCATCACCATAGTGAAGATTCGGGTGGGATCTTCCAGCAATATTAATCGGCACTCTGGTTTCTAGTTTTCAAAATACACACAAAGGTGCTTGATCAGCAGCAATGTCAATCTCAAAAAGTGTAATCTTCGAGTCCAAGTCCAATTGGATTATATACAGTACGTTATTCCATGTTGCAATGTACACGAGAATGCCTTATAAAAGTTATGCCACCTGCAAAGTCTTTTTCCATATCCTTCTGGAGCAATTTTCGAGTGCATTTATTTGCTTCCATAATCGCAGGTAATAATGTCTCGGGACAAGATGGTCCTGAAGTTCAACACCTAAGTTTCTTGTGTCTGGAATCCAGAGAGCAGTATGGAGTCCTGCTTATGTAATGGTTCCACCAGACAAGGTGATTTGCATCTCGTCATACTTGTAATCTGTCAACTCTTGCATGCTGCTGTACTGTATCAAGAGCTCGGGTAATAAATAGCCTCTGGGAGCAGCATCTTGATTTGTGCATCTTCCACAGTTAACCTTGGCATAGTTTATACACAAACTTCATAAAAACCTTAAATTTCATCACTCGTCTGATGCACTGCACTGCATTTACAGTCTACTTAATATCTCGCAGTTTCGACAGTAGACTTCACAAAATGGCAGTCTGTTCACAACCCAAAACTCAACCCCACATCCCTCTGCAACTAGGGAACTTTTAAACCCCCCCTCCCCCAAATCCCTATTGCAGCTCCTGTATAAAAACAGGATGTCCAGTAAAATCAACAAGATTACATCTTGCTACTGTTGCCAAACTTTTTTTGCATGTACAAGAAAAGGCAACAGTAGACACGCACGACCTAAAAATAAAATTTAAACTTAAAAACCCAATCTTCTTAAAATAAGAAAATATACAGAACTTAACTGGAAAGGACCATATCCATGCTTGCCTTGCGATGGTGAACTTAAATTATTAACCTAGGGTGTTTGCACACTATTGTTCATCGTTCTTCAAACACCGGTCATCTTGCATCACAATACTTGCACGGACTTTCTTTTAAAACTCAAATCAAAGCTGTTTTTTTTTCAAATTTCATTACAAAATGCAGCTGTAAAAAGTAAATTCTCCCAATTTTTTGACAGGTTGTGGGGGAGAACAAGTTTCCTGTTTGAGTAGCAATGTCCAAAATAAACTAAGATTTCCTGCAGGGTTCAGTCACATGCACCAAGCTTCAGCAATTCTTCAAATTACTCTTTCAAAAACTTGATTTTTGGTATTCAGGAAACGGCTCGATACATCTTGCAGAAGAAACTTTAGTGGGGGTACAGTATCAACACTTTATTTTATGTTTCTTTTCAGCTAGTTTTGTTTCTCTGAAAAATCAATATCCCAAGAATTTGGTTTGCAGGATTCTGTAAAACGTGAAAATTTGCTGCGCATCAGCACAGAAGCACCCCTACAATTACAATACTAGATTCATCTCCCACAGTTGGCTCAGCATATCTGAATGCAGCGTTATAAGAGTTTGTCACTCCGTTACCAGTCACACCGGTTTCGGCAAGCTAAATTTTTGTGCCTGTGAGGGTACATCTTCGGAATGCTTGTGCTATTAAACATGCAGAATTACATTTAAAGAGCTTGGTGCATAAATCTGAACATGGCAGGTTACAATGACTTGAAGACTGGGCAGCCTATTTTTGAAATTGGTTTCATAGACTAAAACGTCACTGTAATCTACAACTTAAGAAAAAAAAAAAATCACTGTATTTACAAAATTGTCATCTGTTTTGAACACTTGAGACGACTCTACGAAGCAAAGTTTTGGAATTAGCAAACAATTTTAAAGCTGCATATTACTAAGATTTCAATGTAGGGGAGATTTACCTGAAAAAATTTAATATCACATCATTTCAGGATTCCGTTAACTATACTACATTTAAAAAATAGGCACATCATTTCGTGTATACAACAGAACAAAATTACCCCCCCCCCCCCAAAAAAAAGATTTTTGCAACAATGTTGGAGGAAATGACATTACAGAAATTTGAATGTTTTCCTGCATTTCTGATTCCAAGACTCAGTTTGCTTTGATCATTTTAAAGTCTTGATTGCAAATCTTAATGTAATCATTTAAATCTCATGAAATCAGTTTCAGTCAACTACAGTATTGTAAAGGCCCCATCCCACACCCTAACTAAAAGACAACTTTTATGTCTCCAAATATTGCATCATATTTAACTAGATTAACACAGACAGACCAGGCAACAGCAAAGTTTCATTTAAATGTCTGCCACTTTGTTATCCAGTAAAAGAAAGAATGCCAATTCCAAAACTTTGCTTCATTAAGATAAATAAAACTCTTCCCAAAAAAAAAACCAGAGCAAAATTGATTTAAAGACAACTCTTCTCTCTGGTAAATTTTCAAGCCCCCCTCCCCCCTTTTTTGTCAGAAAAGGTCCGTTGTAATTCTCATTAGGACCATGTTAATCTCATTTACTTTTCTTCATTCTGACCGTCCGCTTCGTCAGGTAATGAATGATATTCTGCGACATACAAGCTTTTGTCGATGCTGCCCGGTATCGGCTTAATTTCCGTGCCGAGTTCACGTTCAATTTGATAAAGAGAAAAGCGGTCTTCATATGTGATGAGATTAAGTGCGATTCCAAGGTGGCCATAGCGACCAGATCTTCCAATACGATGGAGGTAAGTTTCAGCATGTTTGGGAAAATCAAAGTTGATCACCACGTTCACTGCTTGTATATCAATACCACGTGTAAACAAATCTGACAAACAAGAACAAATAAACCATTAAATAATTTTCACCCACTCACAGCAGCATAATGCACAATCAGTAACGTTTGGCAGCCCAAAACTTGCAAAACATAGATGGCAACTGCCATTTACACGCTTTTTTTCCAAATTCTCACCTGAGCATACAAGGTTTCTGCAGGCACCGTTACGGAAGTCATGGAATATTCGGTTTCTGTGTTCTTGTCTCATTTTCGCATGGATATAAAAGCAGGAATAACCCAGCTCTGTAATTTTCCTGGCAAGGAGTTCCACTCTTTGTGTAGAGTTACAAAATATGATTGACTGGTTGATTTGTAGCTGCAAAAGAAAATTTTCTGTTACTTCTACTTTATCCTAACAGGGTGTCAGCCTAGGCTGCCAAATATCTGTTTCACCATTATATTTTCTGTATGCGATGTCAGGGGATGATTATTCTTCAGTTGACAATTAGACTGCAAAGGAGCGACTATGGGTGGGTTTGTTAGTTCGTTCGTTCGTTCATTCATTCATTCATTCTTTCATTCGTTCGTTCGTTTGTTTGTTAATTCGTTCGTTCGTTTGTTAATTCGTTGGACACCGAGGAGGGTGCAGTACAAGCGAAGTCCAGCTGAAAAATCTTACATACCTACAAACCACACCAGAGGTTTGTAGCATATTTTTCATGATCACTCACACTGCAATGTAGCCATAGTTTATTTTCACATAAATGAGCAAGAAAGTAGTTTGTACTGTAAATTACAGCTGGAAAATAAATTAAGAGCACACTTCTTCACATATAAATTAAAGACTTAATTCTTGTCAGATTTATGGAAGCCTACGTTTACTACAAAAAGAACTGCCGTTTTTTAAAGAGCCTGGTAGTTGTTATACAAACTCAATGTCCTTATCCTGATGGATATGGTAGCAGTATTAATCACTATTCATGAATTGCCGCTTTATATATTGTAAATTGAGAGAAAAAACAAGTCACTGAAAATGTCAGTATTTGCATTACTTGAAAGCTTGCTTGATAATTTTGGCTGAATAACTTAGTACTGTGAACCGATTCTAACATTGAATATTTGCAGTAATATTTTACTATTACATAAAATGGCAAGTTCCATGCCATAATGCATGCAACACATCAGAGCAGTGCAAAACTTTGTCCACCTTAATCCTTCGAGCATCAACTTTTTTTTTTTTTTAAACTATTCACTAAATAAAATGTTCTATTTCCAGTAATTTTAATCTAGATTTTGGTCCAAAATGACCAAAAATGATATGGAAAATTTTTGATAAATAGGCAAAATGTTGCACCAAAACTCAGGTTGGACAAATTATGGCGGTCAAATGTGGCTTTGTGGTTTGGATAGGACACCAACATAGTCAGAAATGGGTCACTGAAACACCACAGCTGCACTGCATCGAAAGCTGTATTAATATTCTTACCTTAGAAAATAATGTGTTCAGACAATGTACTTTTTGCTTCTCTTGTACAAAGGCGTAATATTGTGTAATACCTTTCAATGTAAGTTCATCCATGAGATTTATTTCATATGGTTTGTTTAAATGACGTGTCTGCAAAATAATATTCATCAAAATTAGAGTGCAAACACATGACACAAAGCCACAGTACTTTGCAGACAGACGCAGAGTAAACAAGAGAATTTGGGTTGACAGCCTCATAAGCAGCTAGCCAACAGACAATTCAGGAGTGAGAGCAAGCAGGAATAATCAACACCTTGTGAGTAAGTAACTGTTCGATAAAAAGAATTCCTCATACTAACAATATTGTATTTGCTCCATCAGAAGCGCATGACCAACAGAAGTGCACATAAAATAAAAATCCCACTTGTTATACACTAAATCATTAAAATATGACTTATTTAATGAGAGTTCCTTAGGGCCTTCTTTCTCACAACTAATCCATACCTTGCCCTTCAACCTTTTCACCAGCAGTTAGTTCCTTTTTTCATCACAAATTCATGGACAAAAAAGCCAAATTTGTTTTGGGTAAAAACTGAAAATTTACTCAAATTTTGTCTGCTGGCACGGAAATTAGAATGAAACAAGTGCGAAAGAAATTGGGCAAGAAACACTGGTTGTCAAAAAAGGTTAATTGTATATTCACTGTTCAGGGCAGTGCTTAGGAGATGCATATACAGTAACATTTGGAGGTGGTACAGTATTATAGGATTCAGGTTGGGGAGGAGGGAGGGCTCAAGGAACTCTTTCCTTTCATTTTGACCACAAAAATAACATTTACACAAGCATGCACTACTACACCAATCAAGTTGTTACTTACCATAAATTCCTGTACTGACAAAGGAAAAGTTGCAGAAAACAACATAATTTGTCTATCATTTGGGAGGAAGTTTATGCACCTGTCTAGCATATTCTTGAAATCTTGTGATAACAGTTTATCAGCCTAACAAGACAACAGAAAGATTGTTTTAAATACCACAATGAGATAAGTAATTATTATTGTAGTAGTTTATTATTGTAAAATAAATAGGTATACAAAACAGGAATGGGACATTCAATTTTCTAATTTTGATATTAAATGTCAACATTGATGCTGCAGAGTTGTCCAGACTGTTAACTTCCTTGGAACTTTTTAGAGTAGTATAGAGTTAAGGCACTCCACTACTGTCAATTTTTTTTTTTTGTCTCGCCCAAGTAGCAGCCTTAGTAAATAGACTATTCAATAAAATTTTCATCGGAAATTCCAACACTCAAAACAAATACAAAGCCAAAACCATTCTAACATTAAAAATCATTTGCATTTGCAATTCACACCATCAATTATTCATTATAGTCCCAAGGCCCGAATAAAACTATAATTGCTGAGTGAATATTCAGACCATCAAATATTTCACAATATTTCCAAGACCCCAATGAAGCTATGAATATGTGCAACTTGAAACAGAAACATCTTAGATGAGCTGTGAGAAATTAAATGAATTTAGCATTGAGTGGTTTGATTACTGTGAAATACTTTATTTTAGCCGGAATTAATTTTCACTTAGATTTGTTGAGTGTATTATATGCAGGCCTTGCCGTCTATGGCTTATCGCTCACGCAAGAGGCTCACGAGGCGAGCTAAAAAACACTCGCCTAGCACAAGCACAGTCCCTCGATAGAGAGACTGAAACAAGCATCCGGGGAAGGTGATGACGACGATTGAGAAGGCAAGTGAATCAACCAAATCAAACGGCCCTTTTCAGGGCCATGAAATCCTCTAAAAAGAGAATCGTTTTTATTAATATTACAAAATAAATGTGTTTAGTTTATCACCAAAAATTAAAATTACAAGAGTATTAAAAGTATAAGAGTTCAAGCGGAGTTCATGATGCGTTGTCACTAAGGATAACCGTTGACATCAAACGTAGCAACGCCAAATTCTATTGGCAGGTAAAAGCTTGGTATTTAATTTGTAACCAATTAGAGCATGGGTAACATACTAGTAGTCAATGTGACGTCACAAGGTTGGGAGAATACAGCTTTTGCGATCGGATCAAGATTTTGCGTGGAATCTAGCCAGATTTTTGCACGTTTTTCATGAGTTAATACAAATATTGCAAGTATTTCTGAGTTTCCGCAATATCACCGATAAATTGAAAATTTGTTGTAGTTGGATCGCAATTCATTAATTTTTTCCATTGAAAAATATGTCGGCCGACTGGGACCGGCGATGCTAAATACGAACTCTGGTATTATTTATACATGTCGAGTGACAATTAGCCTGCGAAGGGTTCTAGCTAGACTGGCGAAGTCGTGACTTTGTTTTACAAAAAAAAATATTATTGTCAATTTAGCCTTTTTAACATGATCGCAAAAACTAGCGTGACTGCGGTTAGGTTAGTTTTCGCACAGTCCCTCTATCAAGTAGAGGGACTGTTTTCGCGATCACGCTGAAGGAATAATTGAAAAATAATTATTTCTTTTTGTAAAACAAAAAAGAAGTCCCGACTTTGCCAGTCTAGGTTCTAGCATTCGTTTGGCAACATTCCTAAAGTGGAACACTGGGGGAGATATTGGATATCGTCATGTGGAAACGGATGAGGGTCAAACACTATGGTGTAACCTCTGTGCCAAATATATGCAGAAAATTCTGGCCGATATGACCACCAAAGGGCAAGCCAAAAAAGACCTAATGATTTACGTTAATGGAACAAATAGCGTGACAGAACATAATGTCTCTAGACATTGGTCATCTGACAATAACATTGATCCTCATTAAAATGTGAGATTGATTGTGACACATGGTTCAATTTCAAAGTGAGTTGTGCGATTTAAAAATAAATATAAAAAAAATGACAACATGTCTGTAGTATTTTATTTCCATAATAATTTATTCACTATAAATATAGTCATAGGCAGTTATAGTTAACTAAAACACCCTGGTCCACCCTTATTGCAAATCATATAATTTTCTAAAATCACTCGCCTCACTGCTTTTAGGCGAGAAATTTGTAATCACTCCCATAACTTGCCTCAGTGCTTGTAGGAGAGCAATTTTTCACTCACCATCCATTTTCAAAAGGCAAGCACTGTATATGGAGTTTAATTTCACTGATTTTTGATGAGTTGAATGTAAAACAGACAAAAAGACATTCGCTGAATTTTATTTTCACTGAATCATCCCTTCAGCGTAAATAGCAGAAATTAATTACCAATACAAGCATAAAATAAATTATTTTACAGTACATAGTGCTACTGTAAGTTGATACACACACAGCTGTCTGGTGCATGTGACCTCTCCATGATTTGACAGCATACATTACATGCCTCATAAAGTAAGCATGACATGTCTATTATAGTAAATTGTGTCATTACACAGTAGCATGCAACTGAAATTGACTTGCTGAATTAACAGCTCTTGGGAAAGTTGCTACAGAAACGGGGAGGGGGGGGGGGCTGTGTTAAGCAATAACTTCAGCCAAAGTAAGCGAGAAATTTAAAAAATCCCTTTAACTATTTAAAGAGTTGAAACATTGTTATTCATGCAAATCTGATGAATAGTTTTTTCTTCTTAATAAAACAAGTCATGGTCAATGAAATAGTCTCTGTATAATAGATACGATACGTATAAGACCTAATGTGTAAAGTTCAGTGTTCTAGCCAGCTCAATTTAAGTGCTAGTCGCTAAAATGTATTCATGTACTACCCATGAGCTAATTATTATTCATTTTTGTCATCCTAGTAGTTACTGTTTAATTATTTTAAGCTTATTATAAAAAATATTACAATGTGAAATTAATCCGCTTTGATGAAGAATAGATACTTTTTTCAGAATAGCATTTAATTGTATCCACAGTGTCAAGGAAAATGGCCATGGTCTATTTTGAAGACACTTGACAGCTTTGGTTATTCTTGACCCCAGAATTGACACCTCATTTTTCTACCTTGCCATGGAAGTCTATTGGGCAGTCACCGCTGAAGAAAAAAGCCAAATTTACTCCTCAGTGTAAACTTTGTACATTCAAATTTTAGTATACAAGCACGTATATATTTGTTTACTTCGTTTAGGAATACTGTGATTTGAAATTGGTGCAATTTATGTGTGAATATCAAAGGCACAGTAGTCACTCGTGTGTTCAACATGGGTCTCATGCACCATTCACAACTTGCATAAAATATAAAGTGCTTGCGCACAATTTGAATTTAAATGTGCAATATTTGTCACTTTAACGTAACTATGATCTGACAAAAAAAAAAAATACACAGGTACCTACTTCATCAAGGCAAAGAAATGCACATTTGCTCATCTTGGCAACTCCTTTGTCCATTAAATCCAATATACGACCTGGAGTTGCTATTACTATATGTACTGAAAGAAAAAGGGACAATGTAAATATAAAGCATAGATATTTATCTATGCATAACATTGAATAAAGCTACCACTAACAAGAATGTGCATCTTGTATTTATATGTGACCCCAATCAGATTATGGATTTTACTTGTCTATTAAGAACCAAGTATTCAGAAAGTGCACTTGAACCGGGATTTTTGTAAACTAGGGAAGAGGGACGCAGCACCCTCATGCCATGGCCATGCGGCACTAACCATGGGGAGCAGATCCTCTGGCAACCATAAAATTCTGATTTACCAGGGATCACATGTGGCCACAGTCTTCAACTATGACCTGTCTGACAGTAATTTTGGAACCCAAGAAAGCTATAGAACGCTCCAATTTAATTTAGAATTATCAAAGAATCCACACCCTGGTAGGGAGAACCCTATCTCCCCAAGGTGGTGGTGCCGCTGAATTGTAATGCTCCCTCAGACTTTTTCAAGGTAAGTTTCTAATTTATCTTGAATATTTTTCTTTTTACTGTAACAGGACATTCAGGCTAGCAACTTTTCAAATGTTACTTATATGACCAGCCTGGGATGACAACAGCTGGTCTTAGACCAACAGGTGAATATCAAACACTGATCACGAGTGGGTTGTAATACAGGACAGGACAGAACAAAAATTCACATTGCATAAGCTTGACGTCACAGACTGAAATGGTTTGATTAGAATTGGGATTTTCAGTGCAGATGATCTATGTAATGTTAAGTTAAAGTCTGGTGCATTTCATTATGGGCAAGTCACTCATAGTTGGTGTTTATGATTAAGGCCAGTCATCACCTATATGCTAAGAAACGGCATATAAATTCACCTAATATTACATTGTAGCGTATCAACAAGATTTTAAATCAAAGCACAGTGCATACTCCATATGTTGGATAAATTAATGAAATTAGTGCTCTTAGCAAGGTCCAGAAAGACTTCAACCATTAGCATATTTCACATTAAATTTGTTAGTCTGAACCTCAATTTACAAAAAGCTCAGACATAGTATTTCTTGCTGAAAAGGCCTCTGACTAAAGTCACAGCAAATAGATTAGAATTCATATTTTAATGAAAAGAAAAATCTGAAAGAATATTATAAATTTCAAATATCAGATTTCCGACGAGATCTAATGAAAGCAAGATAACCACACCTAAATTTTGGCCCTCACATAGTGATCTATTTTTTCCACCATCAAGTTCACTGTTCTTATATTAGGTTACTAAATTAGAACAGTAGACTAAATGAACGTGCGAAAATAGATTATTTGAGGGAATAAAGTCACACTGTTCTTTCACTCAGGATTTCTGTGATCATTCGACTCCAAGGACTATTAATAAGGTAGAAGCCCAGTCATAATTATTGACAAAATTGGTCATAAATCGCATGACAATGTTTATTAGTTTATATGTACAATCATGAAGATAATGTCTCATGGCACAATGAAATTGCATTATTTTGCGTGTTACTGTTATACTTTGAGAAACGTGTCCTGATATTTTTTGAAAATTGCTATTTTTAGAACAATTCCATAGAAGATAATGTTAAAGAAAAATTGCATATTTTTTTTTTACACTTTTCAAAACCTAGATATTTTAAATAATTCAGAACACAAAGCACTCCATCATTAACAATATGATTTTTTTCAGTCTATGTCACCAGGCTAGATTTTGAGATATTGCATAAAATCTCTGCCATAGGATCCTGTGGTAAAAATTTTTATAATAGTGTCAACTTTCCACTAAAATACAACCATCATTTTCTCTCAAAAAAGGCTGGTGACCCCAACTTTTTTTTTAGGTCAATATCCTTGTATTGCCTTGGAGTACAACTTATTGCAAAATGAATAAATACTGGGTTTTTCAATTTATGAGTAGGCTTCTACCTCAACAAAGACAAATTTTTACAAGTTACAAAAACTGTCTGAAGAACTAATGTGATGCTGAATGGCTACAGGCTCATTGAACCATGAAATTGTGTGTTGTGCCAAAGTAAAAAGATTTCTAATATCATGTGATGAAAACATGAGCCAAGAAAGCACTTACCATTTTCATAAAGTCGCATGATATCATCTTTGAGATTGGTCCCACCAGTGGTGACCATGACTCTAGCACCTAGATGTTTTGATAGCTGCTTACATGTGTGGCTCGTCTGCAATGCCAACTCCCTTGTCGGGACAAGTACCATAGCTGCAATTGACAAGAAAAACTTAAAGCGAGATATTGCCTATCCTGCCTTGCCATGCACTCGTTCATAGAGTTTTTAAATAATGACAGGGGATACTTGTACCTTTAGCTTCGATTTTTTTTATCTAGCAATCCAAACTGGCCCCCATATTTTACACCTTATATTACCAAGGGTTATAAATCAGTGTTCTCCACAATCCAAAATAGCTGGTGGGCGGCCTAATTAGCATAATTTTTTTGCATTTTAATTTGCATATCATTTACATACAGCATTCTAGCATTTATGTCATGAACTGCAATACACACTAAGTTATTTACTATTCTCTTTTTAATTTAATTGAAACATGTTACAATTTTTTGAAATACAGATTGGTCACTTAATATTTACGAAATGCAAAAAGTTTGAAATCTGATTTATACGTTTGCAAATTATTCTGCGTTCATGAAATGCATTTCGAGTAACCAAGAGCATGCCAAGAGCAAGTACAAAACATGTAGAAAATATACGAGGTGATTTGTCCCCGACGCCAAAACGGACGATTTGTCAACATAAAACTCGTAAAATTTTTTTACTTGTGGCATCAGTACTCACCCGTGCCGACGGACGGCAAGATGCATTTACGCATGTACGGTCCACGATACGTTGCGTTGCGTTGCA